TGAGGAAGGCTACTTCATACCAAAAAGCCTGTCTATATTCTTGGAGGCTTTTAAGATCTGGCTAGACAAAGCCTTGGCTGGGATGATCTAGTTTGGGATGGTCCTGCTTTGAGCAGGGTTTGGACTAGATGCGACCTCATGAGGTCCCTGCCAACACTCATGTTTTACAGTTCTGCCCTTCCCAACTATACAGTAAAAACCATCACACACAAAACCCTTGTCTCACATTTTTCCGGCCATCACAGCTAAAACACAGCAGGGCCCTCTGTCTCTCCCAGCTTCAAACAACCCTTAGTCATGGCTTTCGGGATGATGACGGTCTCCTGAGTTACCTGCACTTTCACAAGCCGAATGGGCATGCGCTTGTAGCCGTGCTTGTCTAGGTCAGAGCCTGCTGTGCATGTTCAGTCGAGTCGCTCGTGTGCACTTGTCTGCACCGCCGGGGAAACGGAGCTGTGATTTGTGCATGACTTCTAGAAGTGCTGTTTAAGTGGCTGGAGAACTAATGTTTGGCTTCCTCTAAAGAGCACCCAGGAAACACTTCGCTCTTATCATGCTTTTTCCTCCCCTTCAAAAAAGCACCCTGGCAAGATGTGAAATACTGGTTTACTGCTTGGACCAAGTGGCAACTTTATTATTTGTATTTTTTAGTAAAATATCCTCAGAATTCATAGATTCGTGGATTCATAGACGGGAAGGGGCTGGAGGGGGCCCTAGACGGGAAGGGGCTGGAGGGGACCTCACAAGATCATCGGGTCCAGCCGGCATCAGAATAGATGAGTCTCCTAGTAACAGGTTCAGTGTATGAGCAAGATGACTGTTGCTTTAAGATACACCCTGCCCCGCTCACATGACATCATTTGCAAAGACTTCAACTTTTCAGTGACTCCGCGACTTCCGCTTTTGAAATACAGAACTGGTGAGAGAGGAAAAGACATCTTTCAGTTTGAAACACAGAGAGAATTGTTTAAATGCTGTATGGAAAAGCTATGAGCAAACTGCTTTGGTTTTCTATGGCCAGACCTAGCTGTGCAGCTTGATGAACTGAAACATTCCTTGAAACTGTAAAAGATCTCAGCCAAAGAATGAGGAATTCAAAAGAACTGGGCACAAGCAAAACAGGGTACTTTTGCTCTTAAGATGAAAGGTAGGTGAAATGTAATTTCTTAATAACTCTTTAAATAGCTCTTAACTGGTAGTAGAGGTTACTCTGCTGGACAGACTTTTAATAACAAAAAATAACTACTCCTGTGAGAAATTATTTTGCTCTTTACATAAACAGTAGGTCAGTTATGTACGAGAAAGGATTTATCTTCCTGTTATAATTCAGATTATAATTTGGAGCAGTGTTACAGCAGATGTTACCGCATGTTGAATTCATAACATCTCTTTGAGCTCCATTTCATTAACCTGCTGGATACCAGAGATCATGGACTAAACATAGACATTGGATTTTTGATACATTATAATCTGCCTGGCAACCGACTCCCCCGCCCAGCCGCTGGCTTCTTTACTTTTCATCCCATCCAGGAAGAGCGCCCACCAACTGCTGCAGCTTCCTTAGCCTGACGAAGGGTTTTTGAACCCGAAAGCTTGCTTAATAACTATTCTCCAACCATTTGGGTTGGTCTAATAAAAGATATCAAATTCACCCAAGGAACCTTGTCTGCCTAACATCTCTTTTTTAACTTTGATGCTTCTTTATTCAAGAATTCAGGGCCCAGTCGTGCTTCCACGGACGTCAAAGAAAGATTTGTAACAAAAGCCCTTGCTGCATGTGGCACGCAGGAAGACATGGACTAGTAGTTTGCAACATGTTCGACTCCAGGCACCCCTCTCCACCCCTCTCTTTTGTGAACTGATTGGCACCCCATTTTAAAAACTATTTTTGATGACTTCCTCATGCAGAGGCTGGGCGGGGGTGGGGGCAAGGTAAGAGAAGCAGCCGATCAGGGAGGAGCCTGCACCCACGTCCCCAAGGCTGCACAGGGAGGCGGGCAGCAGCTGGGCAGGGACAGGTGAGTGTCTTGCTGCACACGGCACCCTTCAAAGTATCTTGAGGCCCCTCGGGGTACTGGGGGACCTCAGCTGAAGATCACTTATATATATACAGCTCCAAACCCAGCTGCCATGCGTGTAACTTCCTAGCTTTTCTCACTGCAGGCTTTGTGCTCTGACTAGGGGGGAATCATTTTGCTGCAGATGCCCTTTAAAGGAAGTAGGAAAAAAATCAAATGATTTCCTGGCTCAAAATAGAAGATTGTATCTGATACCCTTTGTGAAATCAGTGGGAATGAAGTCTGTGAATGTAAGCACCTGTTCAAATGTGCTGCCTGACAAGGATGTTTCTTTGTGCTGAATGGGGGCCAGACTCTGCCTTGCAATTAGTGGATGCAAAGCTATGAGAAATCACCACAGCACCGCACAGTGGCAAACATCACTTTGGCAAGGAATTCAGTTATGTTAATTCTGCTAAACTATCTGAATAAACACCAAATTGGTGCATTAAAAACAAGAAGGACATAGAAAGCACAGATAAGGACCCTGTACCATGGCAGCCTTATGAAGAATCCAGGGCTGGGGAAGGCTGAAGAAATGGGAGAGGAGGCCTGGGTCCTTTTAGAAAGGGAATTCAGCCATTTGTAATCCTTACTGGAGCATGCACAGTCCTCTGTCCTGTGCAGAAGCTGCCCTCTCTCTTCCCACTGTGACCACCCCCGAAAGACACGAAGTCACTTAGTGGGTTCTTGAACTGCAATGAAAATCCCTGGCTATATACAACATGGTCTTTCCCTGGTTGTTTCCCTACCTCCCTTTTATGTTTTTGGCCTAGTGTGCTTCAGTCTAAAGTTGACAACACCTCTTGGTGCAGACACACGTGACAATTGAACCATTTCAGAATGCCACTGATTGGGAATGTGCTCTAGCCATGATGGTCCAGGAATATACGAGGGGCAAAAAATCTTGCGGGTGATCTCTTTTATTGGACCAATTCTATTGTTTGTATAGAGTTAGACAAACTTTTGAAAGTAGTGTGTTCTTCAAATCTGAATTAAAACAGATCTGAAGAAGAATGAATTGCATAGACAAAAACTTGTCTATCTAAACTGGTCCTAAAAAAGGACCAAAAAAAGGGAAGAAAGTGGGGCGGTTCAGTTCTGGCTGTGTACCAGAGCAGCTAGTTGTAGCAGTGAGGGTGCAGGGGTGAGGAGCAATGCAGAGTGGGGTACCTGGAGGATGGCCCCATACACAGAACTCTTGATGTCCAAACATAACACTGAAGCAGGTCATAGTGCATCAGTTCAAAATAGTGCTTGATTTTCTGTGTACACTTTTGAAGAATTCCAAGCAGCTTTAAATTTGTTTAACAAACTTTTATGTCTGTCCTCTTCATACTACACTTAAACTCAGGAGCAACACGTAGGGGGTGCACATGGGTGCATGTGCACACTCTGCGCATGGTGATGCACCCCCTTGAAAAAGGCGCCGACTGTTGGTGGCACTATGGGCAGTTGCTGCTCACCACCCTGCCGCCAGCACCGCCACCGGTATCTGCTGATGGTCCTTGGTTGCCCCCGGCCACTGCCAATGCTTCCGGTGGTGCCTACGGGTGGGTGGTCACCGACCCATGTTTGGCACTCGCCCCCCTCCCCACCTGCCAACAGTGCCGGCTGCGTCTGCAGGAGCTTCCCGCTCACCGCCACTGGGCTCCTGCCACCACCAGCGCAGCCTGCCCCCCCTGCCACCGGGGGCATGCGCCGTTCATGCTTAAACCATACTAAGTGTTACGTGTGTCCATGCCCCAAGTGTTTCTCAGGAGTAAAATAAATAGAAGGGTGCTGTAGATGAAGAGTTTGCCAGCACACAATATACAAGTTGGATTTTGGAAATAATGGACTGACTGTTACCACAAAAAAGAATTACCTTTACAATGGATTTCTTCCTATTCTCTATCAGGTAACTTTTATAATCTCCTGCCTCTTGAGCTCCAAAATGCAGTTCATGATAATTACCCAATTCTTCTCACTGCTTACTTTCTCTCCTCTTTTTCTTGTTGTCTTGTTGTTTAGGTTGAGTTACGGTGAAAATGAAGGTGCTCTCCTTCTGTCCCAGATCCAGATACAGCTTTCTTCTGCCACACTTTATTATTTATTTCATCACTTTCCAGATTCACAAGGTGGAATCAGGTAGGAATCCACACTGCTTCTCCCAGTCCTTATAGGATTTAAGTACTAGTCCTTCAGGGGCTTATACGAGTCTGTCACACTATGGAAAATAAGTCTCTTTGATGTCAATGAAGCTAATAGCAGTGAAGAAAATTAGGCATAAGTCAGGATCAGGAACTCAGTTATTGTTTTTGGTTATCTTGTCTGTGTTTTCTGGAATATTTGATATATTTTAGGGTAAGTTACAGGTCTGTTTATTCATGCACATGTTTCTTAAAGGTACCCTAAGATATCTAGACTATCACATGGAGTAATGAAACCCAATGACAACTGTTGGGTTTGAATTCTTCTTTATACTGTCCTGGAATCAGCAGTGTCATATTGTAATCCAAAAGCAATTTCATGCGAAGTGCACAATCAGCAGGTAGGAGTGTTGGGGAAAACTTAGTCCCCGGGTTCGTTAGGCAGAGGCTCAGACGAACAATAACATAAGTTTAAAGACTTGATTTATTAAAGAATGCATTCTGAACAGACAACTGCCCCGAGAGGAAACTGTCTGTTGTTCTACTTCAAGTGCAGCTTGATTATATAGCAAGTATGATATAGGAAGTATGACATCACATGCATAGTAGCAGATACACCAATCTATTAATAGCCACA